AAAAGCCGATTGGAGAGGCAAGATCAGCTTCTAAAACCATGTTAAGGACTGAAAATGACTTGCAAAATTTAAGGATATGCATCAATTCATCTGCGATTATCGACTCTAACAAGTTTTCATAACACAGGAAAGGGAGTAATAGGTCCGAGTTGGAAGGGTCCATCGTAAATCGGACTGATGTTTCAAATTTTCCACTCAACTGGGAGTGTACGGGAATCAAGTAGGCACTGATAAAATACTGCTGGGTGTGCTACTATAATGGAGGCAAGTGCTTTGAGAATCTTCAGGCAGATCCTGTCCATTCCCATGGGACTCTTTTTCTCTGAGAGACCGTAACGTGCTTACGATAGCTGTTGGGGTGACGCTGAAAAGGCAAACAACATTTTCTGGGTGGTGAAATGGTCATTGTTCCATGGTGCGCGTAGCCACTGAGCCATACTTCAGAAATAGTGGATTAGCTGTATTCACAGCGGTAGTAGTTTAGCCACTAACCGTCTCGACTGGTGATATTCCAGTCTTAACCTGGCTTCTGTAATTGACATAACTGTAAAGTATTTTGGAGCTGATCCTAAAACTGACGACCATGATCTGCTGCCAGTGGTACTTGTCGACGCTAATGAGTAATGTGCACTACTTTCAAAGTGTCCTGTAATTCTCTTGTGTTGTATCACATCAGCCAAACGCCTTTGGCTTCCGAATCCCGTTTTTTCTATTTATCCATCGACGCATTCCGCTTCGGATCCAGGTGTTGGTCCCGTGCGATACTTGTAATGGCACAACTACGGATAAAACTTGCACGATCCAGTTAGTTTTACGTTTCAGTGCACTCCATGCGTCGTTCACCGAAAAGTGCGGCTGAAGGTCCCAGTCAACGACTGCCGCTAGGTTCTGAAGTTTGAAATGTTCAGTAATAGTTCATCGAGTTTCGCAAGTTCTATTAAAAATCCTGGCGAAAACGCACAGCCAAACGTTAGGACTACATGCCTGCTACTATCTACTGGAGTATCATATGCAATTGACTAAACCATTAACAATTCACTAGTCAGAATTAACACAAGAAGTGAAAAATTTAATGGCGGTATCTGTTGGTTGATATAAATGGTTATACAACACTGCCACATCCATCAACTCGAGAAAGTTTGAGTTGAATTATGGCCGACTGGCGGACGCTCAGATTATTTAAGTTGCATTGAAGTCGTCCAAAATAAGCTCGCGGGAGTATTTTTTGAAACGGCATAATGGAGAGTGTTTGACAGAAACACATTACTGTCTGTGGAGCAGTTCGGTGTCATATAAACAACTGTTAAAATGCAAGAATCACTCGACTTCTACTTTATTCCATCATCTGGACCTGCTATCTGCTGTCTGCAAAATAACACATCGGGAATAACAAGGGAATGTTCGGTAAGGACCTCACCTTTCAGGTGCTCTTGCTAACAGACAGCAACCCCGCCAATGCAAGATGGAGAACCATTCCGAATGATTAAATGATCACTGAGTTCAGTTACCAGATCTACTACGTCGTTTGAGAGTCGGGTTTCAGTCACCGCCATGATATCCCATTTGTTGTTCCACGTCGATGGTGCAGCTCTGACAGCTTAGAGTAGAGTATCGTTAGTGCAGCAGCACAAGGAGCTCGGTTCTCTGTGTCAGACCGGTGTAAATAGTATCGGTCTGCTATCTTTTCTTGATGTGGAGGTCTACACGGTTAGCTGATCTGAGGTAGGAAAAGCCGAATTTGTCTTATCTGTACTTGATGTCTGTGCTGCTGGAATGAATGATCTAAACAGTACATCTAGTGGCCCACGTTTTCTGTTGTCATACCACGTCTGGATTGAATTTAATAAGACGTTGGGCGTAGCCAACATAGCCTTCAAATATTTTGGTCCTCTGCCGTGGTAGTTTTGGGAGGCTACAAAACGGGTGAGGCCAAAAGTTACGACTTTGTACATCTTATAGAGCTCCATGCTTAAACACTTGTCTTCAGCGTCGTGCTTTTGTCGCTCTCTCCCACCGTCGTGCTTCAATTCGGGTGCACAATGGACTAGCACAACGTTCTTCATCTTATTTTTACGTGACCAGGTCGTTTGGAATTTCCGCTTTTGTCTTTCTGCCCATGACTCTTCCGGAAGAAGTCGGGAAAGAACAGAATAGTTCACTAAAATGTGGCTTGCAATGAGAACGTCTTCCAGGTCCAGTGTGTTGCCAGCTGCTGCAGCAAGTGAGACATCCCTACTTGTGGGAACGATGGATTTCGTGAAAGCTGTATAAGGCTATTTGGAGAATCTTCAGTCCTAGTGCGCAGCTTATCGCATCCAAGTGGCTTTGTTTCTCGGCTTCTCTACCCCTTTCTGATTCGCTAGTGGATCCCAGGACGTTTGAACATATTATTATTATCTCCTATAGATTGCATAAAAACCACTGTTATACCATGCATTGTGAGTGAAGATTTGTAGTGTGGGAGCGTTTGGCTTGTCTTGTATGGAAAGCGAGCCAACACCACAACAAGTCTGCCTATGTACAACTGTTACTGGCACAGTCTGTAGGGGTCATGTGTTGTTGTTCAGTACATAAAGGAGATTGAGCAATTTGTGCATAACTCTTCGTGTATTGCGACACTTCATGTATTTAGTGGACAGTTCAATCAGCCTGTCTTCACCGGGTTTCCACCAGTTTCTGCTAGATACTTTTCGTCTTTGGATAGGTCTAGGGTTGAGGTCACGTAACACATCAATCGGCAAGTAGAGTTCAGCGATTCTCCATCCAAATAGCTCGACCAGTTCCTTGTGCCGTACTCACCTAACAGCCAACATTCCACACCGCTTCGTGAAGCTAAAATTTACCTAACTATTAGACTATCATACGAGTAGACTACCACAGAGCCACAAAATACTTGTTAGTACGCTATGCATTCTATTGAGCATTAAGTTTAAGTCTTTTCCGTCCTAGGGATCAGAACAGATCGAGCACTTGACTCCCGCGATAACCTGTTTCGTCGGTCTGGCTGAGTTACGGCTGACCTTTGGTTTGTTGTACTTTGTGCCTTTTCTCAGTCACTTGCATCAATAACAGTTTCCAAATGCTCAAAAAAAGAAGATATCTTCCTTCATAGATCTCTCATTATGGTCCTCAAGGCGAGAAAAGTGCACCTAACGTGCGCGAACATCCAGAGAAAATGCGTAGTATTCGTTTGGTAACCATCCCCAAATCACCGATATTATAAAAGATGAACACAGGATTGGGACCTTATTGGCTGAGTTGGGATTTGTCATTTGGTGTGCAGTATCATTTGGGCTTGTTCGCGTCCGTTGGATGCAACTTGATTGCGGTAAGGACCATAACGAGAAATCTGTGGGAAAAATGATTATTGATGAGGGATTTGAAAGCGTCGTGGATGCAATTGGCTGAAGAAAGTTATGGATATCCCGCCAACAAACATCTCTTATGCATGGCTCATTAGTTCTTGCACACTTTTGGGTCACGCTGATTACATCGTTTTGGGCCCCGTCACTTGTCTGTCTCGGTCAGTAGGGGCTGTTTTTGTGCCAACAGGTTTGGTATTGGTACATCACTCTGTGCACAGGTGGAAAAAATCACACAAGCATTATGTGGTAAGATACACGGAAAATGCAGGGTTTAATCTGAGTTGACAAGGTAGTGTGCACCAATGGTTTACACTGATGCACAGTTCTTAGTTTTATCTTAATTTGCAGCCTCAAAATATCTCTGTCCGACAATAGCTGAAATTCGCTGAGGAGACTCAAAAGAAGCAAGCTTACCTGCGTGTCTCTCAGTGAATGCACGTCCAAAGATGTCGTTTGTGGTGTAGCAGCGTGTCGTATGACTTAGTTCAGTAAGTTAGATGTTGTTGGATGGAGACCGGCCATCCAAGTCGATTGAGCGCACTTCCAATGATATAGCAGCAAATTTCAAGGGAATGGCTCATAATCAGAAAGCACACAAAATTATTCGATCGGCACAAATCTAGTAACGTTTAGATAGATCTTTACAAGAAAGGTCCCAGCGGGAGTAGAGCGAACAAAGCGCCGGTTGAAAAACGGGATTGGAAGAAAGAGAGCTACCAGTATACCAGGCTCATGTAATACAATGTTTTTTGTAAGAGTAAATCAGTACAAAGAAGTCCTCCGTATTGGGCACTATTTTTTTGAGAGCAAATAGTTATACCTTGATGCAAACGGTCCATGCGTAATTCATTTCGAAAACTAATGGCGACCGTACACTGCATGCGGAAATCAGTAGAGCAGTACTACCTTTATACAAGACTATTGATATGATGTCTCCACTTGAAAACTCTTAGTTGTAACATTTCTAGCAAGCGTCGTATTATTTTGGTTAGTGCGAACTTCACAATAAGTACATACCGACCGATCGATTTAGATGCTAACTCGACTCGAAATTGGCGGTGCATACGGGAATGCGGATGGTGTGAACTCATGCATGGTTTTGCACCGTGGGGACATGGGTGACGCAGTCTTGAGGACGGCACGCACTTCTCAAACGGTTATAAGATGCTTATAAAAATCTTGTAAGAATAACGCGAGGAATGTGTAATGAGTTGACAGACCACATGATGAGAGGTAAATTATTCATAGCTGTTATTCCGATACGGTATTTTCGGCTGTGTAACCAACGTCGAGTCGAGGAAACGATGTCAATTATCCTGATATTGTTAACTCACGCTGCCGTATTAAATCGTTACCAATTTAACTGAAGTTGCACCTCAGCCGCTCGGTCGAATATTCCGGACATGGGAAATCATAGTGTGTCTAAACCTCACAATTGCAACCGGTTGAAGAAATAGCTTCTTCGTGGTGCTTCACAACCCTCATGTGACAAGTTGCTGAGTCGTCGTGTTACGCTGCGAATTTTCCAGTCTAAATGAAGTGGTACACTAATGCTTTTTTGCCTACTGTTTATACTTCGTCGATGCACCACTTTACTTATACGTTGTTTTTACAGCCGGTTCTACTCATTTGCAGCACATAATCCCACAAGGACATCTATCCGGTGGTGCTGGCTATGTCATCTCTCGCGGCCTGCTGAAAGAGTTGGTCAACAATGTGATCGATAAGCACCCGGCGTGTCCCACATACGATGAGGATATGGAAGATGTAAAAATTTGTAAGTAACCGTTAAGTAACGCTATTAATATATTGTGAACGATTCCAATATCGCTTATTTAAAAAAAAGCTGTCTACTTAATAAGCTTCTTTTCGGTTCTTCAATTACAGGTCAAACACAAGACATATATATATATATATATGTATGTATAGGTAATGTAGGAAAATGAGGTATTGAGTTGTTAGAAAAGTAAGGTGACAGAGTAATCAGAATGGGCGTGAAGTATTCACATGCAGCTAACCGGAAGACAGCTGACCACAGTAGAGCAATTGCTTTAACCAACTGCTTTTGCACACACACAGCAGGTTATTGTTAGAACGATGAATAAGTGGCGCCTTTTTCCCTATGCTTTAAATGCGTTTTCCGGCAGGTGTTTGGACTGGGACAAACCTTTCACCACCTCGGGACCACACCCTAGATATTTTGATAATGAAGTAAGTCTTACTATTAATTTGGCGATTTCGTCGTCGAGTGAGAACGATTGACGGAGATAGCCCCATTCCTTTCAATCATGAGCTTGATCTTCATGGCCTTTGGAAGTTTGGAAATCCGGCAACCCTTGAGTAAATGTCGACTTTGCGTTCCGATGGTGGGGGTCATTAGGATTCTGGCTTTTACCAAAAGCTGGCCCCAAGGGATGTCGGTGAAATTTCGAATGCCGCGTGACTCAACCCACAAGCAGATAGCTGGCAAAAGAATCGTCTCAGCATCATTTACTGATCGTATGGTAACCCGTAGCGGTCGTGGTTCCGTGTGGTGGAGCAAGTTTGGGGGCCGTACGATGTGCACCATGTTAGCCCACGTAACACTTAGGCTTAAAAGTAGACACATGGAATCCCACTGTTTTCGGGCATTCACCTGCTTGCATTTGATTGAGCTGACGCTAGATTTTGTAGCACTGGAATCTACGATCTTCAGCGACTCATGAGCTTGTCTAAATGTAATCGGTTTTCAAAAGAATGAAATCTGAGTCCTAGTTATCGCATTTATCTGCAAAAATAACATCTAAGAAGGGGAGAGGCACAAAATCGTTGCAGAACCAAAAGGAACTTGTGTTATTGTTCAGCAATTTCATTTCCTTTGCATTTAAACCAGCACGTATGGCGTGTTAATATCTGTGGCTGTCAAAAATTAGAAGAACTGTTCGAACGGTTATGCTGCAGCCGCAGAGGCTGTTTGGCTGTGTCTCACTAAGCTCCGTTATGCGTTGCACTCCGTTTTGCGTTATGTTCTTAGTTAGTTTTCTTATCTAACACTTCTCAGCCGTTCAGCCAGTAGCTCCCATGCCTACGATGTCGTGCGCCCGGCTGTTGGTGTGCCGTATCCTTCCACTCCTTTCTCGTTGTATCCCACCTGCGTTCTACCTTATTTCCTTATTATGACCACTTCCTTTTATAAATGCAGAAGGATCCATAGAAAATGATTTCAGCCCAATCCATTTTCAAGTCCATAGCTGTTAAACTGATTTGAGCTGGTGGTTCACTGTAGAAGACCATCGTTGCTGTAGGTACTGATTAGATGGGCATTGAATAAAGGCAATACGTCGGTACGCAGTACGGACTCTTCGCTGCCGCGCAGCCACTACCGGTCGCCAGTGGGCAAAGGCTATTGTGACGGTCCACGGGTCCCTACGCTGGTTCGAATCTGAACCCTCAGATTACAAGGCAGGGTTTTGGTCCTTAAGGCAACGGGTCGGATGATGGGCGTTAAGCTGTCGAGTGAGATAGTACACCAATTACACTGTTGGTTTATAGCTGAAGTACCGCCGCTCCATTCTGTGATGTATGACGTGGACTGTACTGGCCCCATCTTATAGGTCGCTGACGTTGTTGGGGTAACCGTAAATGGTAGCATGCACAACAGTTTAGGAGTAGCTTTCATTGACCTAACTGGGTTATCATTAACTTCTCAGCCTATTGTGGATGCTGTATCACAGATGGTGTGCTGAATGATTGCGATCAACCAGATAGACTTGAAAGATGGAAGCAGCGCTGGTTACTCACAACCAGTCGGTGGTTAGCACGATGGTTACAATGGCATAACAAAAGCTCCATCACTTAGACGTCTGACGAACTTTGCTTGAACTCTGCCTGAACAACCAATTCGACTACTGCGTCAACAAAACTGGCAGAGGATTTCGGTTACTCCTGTGCTTTATCTATACACAGCATTTTTGTTATGTGGTGAGTTTACATGTGACACCAGTGATCACTGAGATGCAATCGATTGCATACGATTGGCCTTTGGCTACGCGAACTGAATACTTCGCCACTTAGAAAACCTACATTAATGTGTCAGGTGATGATAGGACACTTGATAGGTGCAATCTAGTACACACTTTAGTCTGCGTGTTTCTTTTTAGCCGACATATTTAGATCAGTGGCGTCTTGCTTTCATTTAGTTTGGCCAACCAGTATTCCACGTGAATTGCGAGTGCACATGCACTTGTACCGTTTCAAACTGTATTCGTTTTCCTGGGTCAAAGCTTGTACAGCTTTTCCAATTTAAGTTGTTACATGCTCAACGATGCAAGACACACGTCAGCGAAGCTAGCGGGATTATAACATACAGCGGAACTTTAAATTGCTACTGCAAGAATGTTTTGCAGTGCCAAATCTAATTCATTTACATTGATACTTTTATTGTGAATTTCGTTTCTCCAATGCTTTTTACTAGTGACCGTCGGAAATCGTTCAGGTTTGTTTATCTGAATTGTGGCGTAAAGCAAGAAAAATAAAAGGAACCCCGTGCAACAAAACACTTATTTTCTAGAACAGAAATGTAAATGTCCCTACCTTATAGAATGCATTCCACTGATAGTAGAAATGTATTCGATGTTACTTAGCACGACAGGTTACATTGCTATGATCAAATGGTTAGTTTCAGTAATGTCAAGGCTACCTCGTAGGAATTATATGTAAATGTACCGAATCACAACCTAGCCATAATGCATCTATGTGGCAAATACGTTAAAATGTCACTGCAACACTCGCCGCTAACTACTGACTGCAGCTTGGCACTGGGAAATGATGACTTCGCCGAGATCGTCGCTTGTATGATCCAGTGCCCCCAAGCTGTAGAAACCAGCGAAACTCGCCAATCATAGAAGACGTCTACTTGTCACTGCAGCGGTGCTCCATTTCTGAAAGGTCTTGACGAAGGCGCTCACCTTGTGCATCCCTAACAGCTCCCAATTTCTCAAGAAAAACGTCACGGTGCTTACGTAAAAGTGCATCTTGGGTGAAATTCGATCACCAACATCTATCTGCCTTTGGGTTAACCACAAATGTTGTACAAACTGCCTCGAATAATTTCCGCGCCTCTATGTCAAATGAAGTCAACTGGCATTTGAAAAGCACTGCTTGCCATTTTCCGACGAATATCAGGCCCAATAATTATTCCATCTCTGAGATTGGCACCACTGATCTCCGGAAACACTTGTTTCAGGTACTTGAAGGCAAAACCATCTCCCTTGAGGGCTTTTACGAAGTAGTTAACCAAACCAAGCCTGATGGGCATGGGTGGTAGATAGATAGGAAAACTTTGCACAAGAGGCGTATGCTTTACGCTCATTTTCCCTGCAGCATACACCGACTTATCTGGCCCCTTTTCGGTTTTGCTATGTTGTTGAGTTGCTCTACTGTCCCTTAAGCAAGAAACATATATTATAGAGCCTCCCAGCATGCCCACTAGGAGTCCATGGTAGCGGTAGAGTTACCACGCAATTCGCAAGATGGATGACGAGATCTAACTGGATCCCCATTAACTATTTGTTTACCCATCCTATGCCCCATGGTTACTTTCCTTCCAGAGGTAAGTGCTACATAATCCACAAGCTGAATGACATGATTTAAACCCTAACTCCTACCATCTATACCATTTCCCAGCCAAGATGTCCTCTTGGGCAACAGAAGTAATCTGAGGGGGCATTCAACATGAGTCTACTCATATTTCAGTGGTCAGGCCAGGTGTCAACTCTTCCTATTGCTCTAGCATCGCCTAATACTAAGTACGTCCATTCGGCCATGCATGTGCTCCCCGGTCGCCATATGGAATTCGAATGCGTTGGTGCGACAAGACTGTCCAAGACCAACTGGACAAGGAAAGTCCCGGACTTTAGTATCCGATGGCAACAACCGGTCTTATGCACAGGATACACTGATTATTGTCGCGAAATCCTGTGCTATGTTGTAAGGGTAGTGTGTGACTGACGTAAAACGGAAACAGCAAATTCCTCATCCTTGCTACTTGGGGATCGTGCTTTTGTGCCATGGCGTTGTAACAAGAGGACGCATCCAAAAACGCAGACGTCTACAAATAGCAAGGATGAGGAATTTGTGTTTTCCGTGTTACGTCAGTCACACACTACCCTTACAACATAGCACAGGATTTCGCGACAATTATCAGTGTAGCCTGTGCATAAGGCCGGTTGTTGCCATCGGATACCAAAGTCCGTGACTTGCCTTGTCCAGTTGGACTTGGACAGTTTTGTCGCACCAACGCATTCGAATTCCATATGGCGACCGGGGAACACATGCATGGCCGAATGGACGTACTTAGTATTAGGCGATGCCAGAGCAATAGGAAGAGTTGACACCTGGCCTGACCACTGAAATATGAGTAGACTCATGTTGAATGCCCCCTCAGATTACTTCTGTTGCCCAAGAGGAAATCTTGGCTGGGAAATGGTATAGTCGCTTACCCAGTTTCTGTGCCATGGTCACATACCAACCGACATAACTGTTATGTAGTTAACAAGCCGCCTGTCGGGATCTTAATCTGGAGGACCAAAGCAAACGCCTGCCCAATTGATGAGCGCTGGTTTACCGATTATCCCGATGTGATCTCAGACCGATGTTGTGATGACTTCGCTGCACCTGTCACTGTGGAAACCATTCGCTTAGACTGTGCAACCCCGCCAAACCACCATTCACGCACCGTCCAAACTTGAATAATCCTCCCGCTCCAGGGGTACGCACCTCATTGTTCCTCCCACCCCA